CCAAAATGCATGACTAGGTACTTGGACTTATGAAACTTCATCCTGTTACACTCTGCCCATCCATCCAACCATTCCAGGTCTCTCTGCAGAACCATCCTACCTTCCAACAGATTGACACACGCTTCCAGTTTAGTGTTGTCTGCAAATTTACTAATGAAGGACTCAATCCCCTCATCCATGTCATCAATAAAAATATTGAACAGAACTGACCCCAACAAAGACCCCTGAGGGACACCACTGGTAACAGGCCACCAGTCACATAGTCAAGAGAACAATCCTGATCTGCTTCTGGGATACCTTTGCCAGTGTCTTTCCATGTGCTGTTGTCAGGATCTAAGGTTGTGAGGATATCTAAAATATACTATCCATCCCCGTTAAAGACATTTTAAATATTTCTGGTGGTGTAGTTCACAACAGCCAATTCTTGCCTCTGCCAGCTGCTGGTGATTGCCACAACATGCCTGGTTAAAAATTTCAAAACAAAGTATAGAGAAACACTCAGCAGTTCCTTTTGGCAGTGTGGTAACTCTGCCTTGATCCAAACTAGCTAGCAGGAGAGCTTTGCTTCATTTTCAAAGGCACAACCTGCTTATGGAAAGAGCTGCTTCCAGTAGTCCTGCATATAGCTTCCTCTTCCTTTCAAAACTGGAGACTTGCATGTCTCTGTGCTGGAAATCCTTTACAGATACTGGGGTGTTGCTATAGGACACGAGAAAGCACAACATGAGCACTGCAATGGCAAAGTAAAAAAGAAGGTTTATTTTTTGACTCTAACCTTTATACCTTTTTAAAGGTGACAGTGGATTGGAGAGTGAATGGGCTACCTCTCTTAAGACATTGGACAAACTACTAGTACATTAACTTTTTTTACCCCTATGAAGGAATGCAAAACAATATCTTGTTTATAGAAAATGTGTGGGAAAATTTTATAACAGAATGTAAACTCAGAAGGCTTTAGAAAATCTTAAGAATCAGGGCGACACTGGGGTTCAGTAAACAGAGCAAACTGTGTATTCTGGGTGCTCGAGCATCCTGTGTAGCCTCTTGCATTCACCACTGCAAGCAGTTTGAGAAGAGGGCAAGCTCAAAAAGAGGTGCTACAGAAAGCATATTTGTTAATAGTTTCTCCTTATATCCATTTGCCAATTTCCTCCTGAGTAGCTGGCCTACATCTGAATTGAAGCCAAATGTATCTAAGTTTAGCTGGGCTCTTGTGATGGTAAAGACAATGATTTCCTGTAGACAGGATGGGGCTGCTGGGGACATGGAGCACAGCCTGTTAATCCAAGCTGCCAATTGTGGATATGACTTACTTTAGACTGATTACAGTTTCAGCAGAAACCCCATTTGGGAAACCACACAGTGCAGGTAATTGGAAACAGAGCCTGGCACAAGCATCTTTTAAAGTTTAGCACTGGCCTTTGAATTTGTAAATAGAAGAGGCCTGTGACTGCAGTAAAAATGGTATCTGCCCTAGTAAAGTTCAAGAAGGAAACAGAGACATTATTGTTTTCTCTCTCCCCATATAGTTTGTTTGTTTGTTTCTCTGTTTGCTCTAAGAAAATCCTAGGACAGCTCCTTTAATTAAGGGGCGATAGACAAAGCTTTGTCTGCAGGGCAATATTTGTGTTGATGCACACAGCTAAGCTTACAGGCTCTGTTTTTTCCTCCACCTTTTTATTCTGTTTAGAAAAGCAAGACACTGTTCATGTGACCTGTTTAATATTTATAATTTCCCCTGTTTTAAAGGATACCTCCCATCACTTCCTAGAGTTTGTATCTAGGCTAGGTAGATTATTTTCTTTCTGTTTTTTGCACTTTTCTTTCTTTTCTTTCACTGGTGGGTTGATGAGCTCAGCACTCATGGTAATACTTTACATAAATATATATAGGAAACATAAATTTTACTTCATCTGTTGTTTAGTAAGTGGGATAGTGGGATTTCAGTAATTTCTTTAGCCTTTGTGCTACTTCTCCATCTGTTCCTCTCTTTTCTGCTCATACACAACTCCTTTTACTACTCCTTAAAACGCCAGATGTCATCACAGTTGTTATCAGCTGTACTTTCAGAAGAGATTATCAAATGTTTTATTTTTCACTAGTCACAGGGACACCTTTCAGCTAAAGAAAGGATCATCTGATTCACCCTGGAAACATGACTTTTCAAAATCATCTGTGGCTAAACTCCTACCCATTCAGCATCTCCTAGGTGACAGTGACTGCATATACTCCACAATAATTTAAAATAAAATATCCCATGGTTACAATCACTAGTTGAAATATGATGATGATAGCAGGGTTTGATATCTAGCCCAAAAAACTTCAAGAGACCACAGGGATTATGAACATTGTTTTTTAATGTAGTTCAAAGATCTATGTAAGACAGAGTTTGGATACTAATGGCAGTATTTTAAATTAGTCGTCTATCTGACCATTGCAAGCATCAGTGGAACAGAACTGGGAAAAAGAGGATAAAAAATCAATCAAAAATATCTCAAGATAAATAGTATTTTTAGTCTTTTGATGAATGTTTCTCTGTTAAAAAATCAAGTATTTTCAGAGGTAAGTTATTTACTATGGGATGTTAAGATCTGGTTATTGTTACAGAGATGCCTCTGCCCAAATTAAGGTGCAAAAGAGACTATGCTGAAAGTCAATAGTACAGATTTTATTTAATAGTAAGCGTGAGGGAGGGAGAAAGAGGGAGGGAGAGAGAAAAAAATAGTAAAGGGGTGGGGGAAGCAAAAGAGCAACAGAGAGATAGGTTGGGTGGAAAACTCACCACTCTAAGGATCCCAGCAGCATCCTGTTGATCCTCTTCTGGTCTTCTTGGTGGTAAGGGTCCCACAAAACACAGAGTTCAAAGGGTTAATATGTATTCAGACTAGTTGGGAACACCCAGGTACCTCCTCTGCCAGGGAAGTTTTACACCATCTCTTGCCTTAGACTCTGGATTGGTTGCATCACTTTGCATCACGTGCAGTCCTCTGGTACAAGGCCTCAGGAATGAGTCTGGGGGTGCTTTGGGGTTCTTTGATGGTTTATGATCCTTCCTCAGCTGCCTCTCACATGTGGATGTTGCTTTCCTGGAGTGGAGGAGTTTTACAACTGAGCCAGTTTGTGTAAGGGAGGATGGGGGTGTTCCGTCTGACATGGGGTTACACCACATAACCAAAAATTCTTCTCCCACCCTGGCCTAGGGAAAGTGTGTGCAAACCTGTGGCCTCCCTCACCCCGAACCCAGCCAGAGCAGATTTTCAGGACAGCTGCTGGGTTTGGTTTCCCTTGTGGATACATTCTCCTTAGACACAAGATAATTCAACAGCAGTACCACCCTTTTCTCAGATTCCTGTTAGGTGGCTTGACTCACAGTCCAGTTCCAGTCAGGAGGCATATTCAGACAGGGAGCAGGCTTTAGTGGTCACTACTTCTTTATACAATTTTGCTATAACGGACGGAGTCCTTTAAAAAAAAATGTTTAAGCTATTAACCATAAGATTTCACTTTCTCATGTGGGAGGAAGCAGAACTATTGCCTTACTGCTAGTAGGTGGCATATAAACCTAAATGAAGCAGGTGACAGTAAAGCAAAAGACAGATGAAA